GCACAATTTGTCAACACCACATGGAAAGACCACACGATTTCCCAACCTCCTCTGGTTTGGGACATAAGGATGAACAACCTTTTTGCACAATTTGGCAACACCGCATGGCGGTCCTTAGAAAACGAAGTTTCAACCCCCCAATCACAGAGATAGCTCACAAAAAGTCAACTCCCGTGGTGCACAGTTCTGGTCCGAGCAATTTCAGAATCTGCAATCGGAGTCATCTACGATCCTCAGTAAGTTCAGATGCCTGTTGAGTCGATAGTGTCCCTTGAGGAGCCCTGCCAGTAGCCTGATGCCCTTCTCTTCTTTTCAACCGTACTTATTGGACCCTTGTATTTTTGTTTATTTTGTTACAAATAGGCGTTTCCCTTGCACGTAGGCCGCCTGTCTGGGCCCAGTAAAGTTTAATCGTTTATAACTATCAGGGCTTCATATGTCTGCAGGGTCAATCACATGACTGACAAGGTACACACCGAGCGGATTCTTGGACCTTTTTGCATCCTCCAGGCAGAATCCGCACCCGAAGTCATCTTCATCTACATTCATTCCGTTCAGATGCCTGTTGGGAGTACAGTGTCCCGTGAGGAGGCTTATCATCAGTAGTATGATGTCTTCTCCAACCGCAAGGATAGATTGCCTTGGTCTTGTTTGATTTTCAGGTCTCCATTCGAAGTTTAGCCTGACTCGTCCCAGTCGTCCCGCCCCTCCAGAGCTCCTAGGCTTTGCGGAACATCGCCTACTTCAGGAGCGTCATTTCTGTCGATTATGGCAGGCGTATTATGGGTTCTGGATCTATTCATGAATCTGCCGAGACCTGCCTCGCCAGATGGTCAGCCTCTGGATTCCCGAGATATTGGAATATCATGGTCCCCAGACGAGTTTCACCCTATTTTGTTTGATTTGGGCACACAGTTGTGCACTCCTCCACCAGCGTCTGCAAACTTTTTTAAAAACGCAACACATTGAAAAGAATAGTAGGAAATTTGTTTTTCGAGAGGAGTGTAAAAAAATATAGGGTTGATAAAGTATTTTCATCGGGCTTAATGGCCGTCGTAAGTTGGAATTTCTTCTTCTGTACTCAATGGGATCTTTCTTGCGTTTTTGTGAATCGGGTTCTGGATTTGGTTAAGTTTTAGTGTTTCTTCTTTCCTATTGAAGTTCTCCGTATGTTTGTGGATTTCTATAGCTTCACGTACAAGACGATTGTGGTTTCCGGAAGTCGGTGCAAGAAGCTTGACCTCACCAAAGAATATTTCGTGATTCCCTTCACTAAGCGCATGTTCCGCTACCGCCGATTTTTCCGATTGTCCTAGTCCGCAGTTTCTTTTGTGCTCTTTGATCCTGGTTCCCATGGATCTTTTTGTTGTTCCTATGCCTACCTTACCACATGTGCATGGTTACGGTAGACTCCAACGCTTGACAGTGGGTTCCTCTTAACCTTGGCTGATCTGATTGATTGCTGTACATTCCTTGTTGGCTTGAAGATTGTTTTTATGTTGTGTTTCTTCAAGACTTTCCCTATCCTGTCTGTCACCCGAGAAATGAAAGCCATGCATGCATTAGCCACCACTGGTCGTTCATCCACATTTTGTCGCGTGGCAGTTTTGGGTCGCATAGCCCTGTCTATTTCAGATGCCTTGTATCCATTTGATAGAAAGGCCGACTTGTTCTTGCTCGAGATGTTGTGGCTCGCAGATGTTCCGAGCACGTTCTTTTAACGTTGTTATAATTCCACATTTTTGCTTTGGATGGTGGTTTGAGAGTGCATGCAGGTACCTGTCTGTGTGTGTTGGTTTTTGGTACACTGTGTGGCTTAGTTTTCCTCCAGATTTCTTCATGAGCACATCCGAGAATGCGATTTCTTGGTTTTCTCCTTTTCCATGGTAAATTCTATGCTGGGATGTTGCGCGTTCAGGTGGCCTAGGAACTGGTTAAGCTTCTGGAGTTATGGGGAAACTCCAAACCACAAAGGTATCATCTGCGTATCGAAGTGATACCGTTGGTTTGTGGTCAAAAGCTTCGATAGCTTTCCTCTCGAAATCTTCCATGAAGAAGTTGGCTATGACCGAGCTGAGCGGAATTCCCATAGCTACAGCGTCCGTTTGCTCGTAGAAGTCGCTGTTCCACAGGAAGTAACTACCAGTGAGACATGTCCGGAAAAGCTCAACTATGTCATTGGGGAAGGTATTTGATATCAAGTCAAGAGATTCTGTCAATAGCCCTTCTGTGAATAGAGACACGACATCAAAGCTGACCAGGATATCCTTAGGTTGGAGAATAATATCCCTAATTGACCACAAACCAACGGTATGGCTTCGATACGTAGATTATACCTTTGTGGTTTGGAGTCAGGGGTAAGCGAGGGGGGAAGAGAAGCTTAACCAGTTCCTAGGCCGCCTGGACGCGCAACATCCTAGCATACAATTTACCATGGAAAAGGAGAACTACCAAGAAATCGCCTTCTCAGATGTGCTCATAAAGAAATCTGGAGGAAAACTAAGCCACACAGTGTAGCGAAAACCAACACACAAAGACAGGTACCTGCATGCACTCTCAAACCACCATCCAAACCGTGGAATTATAACAGCGTCAACAGAACGCGCTCGGAACATCTGCGAGCCACAACATCTCGAGCAAGCACTGGATCGCCTCAAGTCGGCCTCTCTATCAAAAGGATACAATGCATCTGAAATTGACAGGGCCATTCGACCCAAAACTGCCACACTACGAAACGTGGATGAACAACCAGTGGTGGCTAATGCATACATGCCTTTCATTTCTCGGGTGACAGACAGGATAGGGAAATTCTTGAAGAAACACAACATAGAAACAATCTTCAAGCCAACAAGGAAAATACAGCAATCAATCAGATCAGCCAAGGATAAGAGCAACCCACTGTCAAGCGCTGGAGTCTATCGTATACTATTCACATGTGGTAAAGGATACATAGGAACACCAAGAATATCCATGGGAACCAGGATCAAAGAGCACAAAAGAAACTGCAGACTAGGACAATCGGAAAAATCGGCAATAGCGGACATGCGCTTAGTGAAGGAAATCACGAAATACTCTTTGGTGAGGTCAAACTTCACTTCCGGATACCACAATCGTCTTGTACGTGCAGCTATAGAAATCCACAAACATACGGAGAACTTCAACAGGAAAAATTCAGATTAGCCACGTGCTGCGAAGCCCCGCCCCTCCCGCACCTCAGCTACTCACACATAAATACAACTTGCGGTCGGGAACGCGTCAGTCTGCTACCAGAATCGGACATGGAAGCACCTCTGAAGTTGCTAGCCACGCGTGCTAGCGAAACGTCAGGAAGAAATTCCAACTTACGACCGCCATTAAGCCCGAATAAAAACACTTTATCGATAAACCTGGGCCGCGAAAGCCTCACAAATATAGTTTACTAAATTACGTCGAGATCCCGGCCAGAATCTAAGAGTTAAGTTATTTACGTCTAGTGCGACTATTCCAGAAAATTGTAGTACCTAATCACTTCTAGATAAATCCATAATAGGATGTCGTCTATGAATAGCGCGTCGTAGTTAGTTTGCAGTCAGTTGAACCTTTTTATAAAGTCAAATTCAAGAAAAGCTGTTTAATTATGAACCGAGAATAGACCTATCTATTTTACCAGACAAAGAGGTAATAATACGAAAACTTTATTGGATAGAAAAAGACGCAGAACGCTTATTGCGCAAGACGAGGCAAAACGTACCAAACCATGTTAGACTTACGTATAGCAATCCCTTCATATTATTTGCACGGGATAAAAAGGGAAAGAGGAAAACCGCGTGACGTGCAACGTATTTGTCAATCAAAAACACAAACAATTGACAATCGATTACTTGTCAAGCTACGTCAAGTTATTTATCAACCATAATTCTGATCCTTGTCAGATCACAGACAATGAACAAAGACAAGGAGATTCCCAGCGTGCAAAACGAACACCTCTCACCTGTATTAGTTAGCCAATAAAAATGCATTGCCTCGTGTTGCGCGCGCATACAGGTAAAAATAGATAGGTCTATTACAATTTGATAAACAAATGTTTTAAACTGCACTAAAAGGAAATTTTCTGAAAAATTATCTCCTTCCGCTTGCTCTGGTCAAGGAAAACATCGGTGGCAGAAAAAATGTCGAACGGAATTTTTTTGTTTACTCTCAATTCAACATATTACTTTATATTTCCACAATTATTCAATTGAAAGAAATAATTTTTTTTCACATAATGGCATATCGAAAACGACGAAAAATATGACAGGTTAACTAGGTAATGATAATGACATGTTAAGAAGTATGACATATGAACAAGTCAACAAGCAGGTCTCGAATTTATAACTATTACCTATCCATTTGAACCCTATTCTCAAATAAGGATTTTTTCAAATTTGCGTTGAATATAAGGAATGGAAAAAAGAATCAGATAAATATAGAGAAAAATAGTTGTAATTTTTTTTTTAAATGTATCACTAATTTATTTTGAAAATCTTCGCTCAATGGTGATCTAGGTGTTGCGTCTACAGCCAGCCATATAGTTGGTAGGTAACTACCGCCGAATAAAATTGTTTTCTATCACACATTTTGCCCCCTTCAGCCAGCGTTGTGCTTCATTTTTTCCTAGAAAATTAATTTTCAGTAAAAACTTCTGAAAAAAAAGTTGAAAATTGATTCAATAAAAAAAAAACTTCAGTAACGGTTATTCACTCTTTAGCGTCTCAGGTGTCGTCTCAAATTTTGTAAAAAAAAATCTAGTGATTTTTTTTTTGTTGTGGTTGCCATGTCATTACCCGTCCTTCCCAATATGCAAGAAGGCAATGGGCACCAAAAAAAAATAGTTATTAATTATTGAATAATTAAAACCCGGCGTAGACTGCAGTGTGCTCCCCTGGATACAGGTGGGGACGCAGCGGACTTATAAAAGTATTCTTGCATTATCGGCGCGCGGTTTTACTACATTTTCGTTCTGTCTCAGCAGGATGAGATAGTGCTTCTGCCAGCTTCAATTCTTCTGCCGCCAATTTCAATAAGTTCTCGTTCGGTGCTAATTAGTTATTCACGAATTGTTTGGACTTCAATAAGTGACTTTTTTGTGTTCATCAAGTGTGACTGTGATTATAATTTTGGGAGGCGTCTTATTGAGGTACTTGGATAAACTTAAAAAAACACTGTCCTAAAAGGATCCAATATTTTGTCTTAAAAAAACGTTTTTTTGCATAATCTAAAACCACTCACAGAACAGAAAAAAAACGCATTAGGTAGCAAAAGATAGAACAAAGAAGTACTTAGTTTCAATGTACGAAAAAAGAAAATCATATGTTTAAAGTTTCAAATAGCCACATTACAACTTTTTTCCAATGATCAAAAATTTTTTGAGTTCACGGAACATTAAAGATCAATTTTTTTTTTTCTCTGAGAGCTAAAAACTAGAATTGTTAGTAAGTTGCTGTCTCCTCAGTCCTTGTATACGAATATCTGTAAATAACTTGTTACTACGATATTATTATTAAAAAATGGAAATTTATTTTGACTTGAAAAACAACACGTTAATGTTCTTATACGAGAAGCATATTATAATAGCATTAGTTGATTGGCCTGTCTTCGCCAGGTACCTACCTAACGTAAATCAAATTGTTTGTCATATTAACAGAGGATCATCTATAAACAATGAATATAGATTGTGTACGATCTAACTCTAGCAAAATACAAGATCGTAATTGTTTCAAAGTTTTTGATAGGGCAAATAGATTCAGAGTCGAATCCAATCTTTAATAGTGCAACTTCAGAACCAACAAAATATTCAAATGATATTTCAATGATCCTTTGAGTAGGTACCTATATGTATAGACTTAGAGTCATATATTATTAATAAATTTGCAAAAAAAAAAAATGATCAGAAGCTTAAAAACGTGGGACCGAAAAATAAATTAATACGGCTAATATCGTAAATGATGAGATCTGAGATCGATATTAATACACAGAGTAGGTACCTACTATTTATTGGAAAAATTTCTCAATACTTTTCCACCTAACTTTGATAATCAAACGACTTATAACCCAAATTTTCATGAATTTTTATGAAGTAGTTTGTCAGATTCGATTTGCTCTCTCAACTAAAAACGAACACGGTATAATGATGATATGTTTTTATTAACTTATACATTTATGAAAAAACAAAATCATTAAAAAAAAAACAAAAACATTACGAAAAACCGATACTTGAAATAAGAATACATTATAAAGAAACTGACATAAAAAAACAAAAACACAGGTATAAAAATCCAAAATCATTATTGAAAACTATAGTATATTTCCGAATGATCAATTAAAAAAGGAGAAGAAACGTCCCATAAACCCCTTCCGAGGATAAGGTCTCGCTCCTTCGTTCTAATGAGTAATGAACGATATTCTTTAAATTATTATATGCCGGCATGTTACTTTTCACTGCGAGTTTTCAACGTAAGATAAGCCAACACAAACTAAAATATATATTTGCACGATTCGTCTATAACCCGGCCGCAGGGGATAAAAGGAGAATGTCATATATCATATGTCGTCTATCATGTGCCGATGAAGACACCGCCATGGTTAATGGTCAATGATCTGCGGTCTTTGAATTGATTACTTAAAAATCCCTAGATTGACTTTAATTTAGTTGCAATATTGGGACTACAGACGGATTTTTTGCTTCATTATTATAAGACGATATACTTATTCCTCAAAAGACAACAGCCCCATAATTGCATAAACACCTAGACAGTATTATGTGGTGTTCACTTGTCTATATCTATTTTCCACTGATCTTGTTTCATTATGAGCCAATTTAGTGATCGCAAGAGAGTCTGTTTGGGAGTTTTATAATTGGCTCTATTGTTTATACAGCATATAGTGTTTATACGTCTACACTCTATATATATTATTATAGTTTCCAACATTTGACTGATCCTTTTGCCTTATTATGGGCCAATATAGTCATCGCAAACCAGTCTATTGATTAGGTATCTGTTTAAAAGTCCCAACATTGTATCGAGAGTGTATAATACTGAACTGTTTTTATGTAGTTTCCAATGTAGGTTCCATCTTCTTCTTCCATTATCACATTATTATGGACCAAAACAGTCTTCGCAAGGGAGTCTATTGATTGTTTGCAAGCTCTGACATTATTGCATAAACCACCACATGATGTTGATATGTCTACATTTAGTTTCCAATATTGGACCGATTTTCTTTTCCTATTATGGGCCAATATTTTTATCGCCTATTCTATGTCTATTTGGGGGTCCCATTATATTGAATAGACAGCATATGTTGTTGATATATCTCATCTAGTTTTTACCATTGGGCCGATCGTTTTATCCTATAATAGAAATGACAGTCTATCCCTGCGTTTTTATTCTCATCAAATTTTACTGCTGAATCCACCATTCTATGTCGGTCATTGTCATTTTCCATTCACCCAACAAAGATAGCTAACTCATCGGTGAAGTCACCGATTAGAATAAAAACGAGGGGTTTGACTTCTTGAAATTTCCAACTGGGCTCATGGTTTAACCAACATACAATGTGGCTATGTTTATTGCTGGTTTTCAACATTGGGCGTAACTCCTTGTCCTATTGTACGTCAATATATTATGTCCAATGTAATTTCTGTTTATACTTAGAATATACAGGCACACTTTTATTCAACAAGGGACCAGAATGCGCCTATCGTCATATCCAATCTATGAAAACGAACGATTGAGCATATCAAGTCCCAATGGTTTCATCAGCGGAGCATCGGCAATGGAACTGTTTCCATCATAGTTCATATCATAACGGTCGAATATACTAGGCTTTTTCCATCTGTACTCTTCCATTTGATAGTGTTTGAGCAGGCAAAACGAATCCCATTCAAATCGCAACTGAAAATTTCTTCCCAATCAGGCCGGTTTTCATTTTCTAGCCAGAACAGCCATGCGCGATTTCTTTTTCAGAGTATTTTTGGTAATGTCAGTATTAGATCTGTTTCGCTATTGTTTTCCTTTATCTGTTAAACAAGTCCAAGACTTCAGGCTGCCACCAGTAGGGGTTTAGCTTTCATTGGAGGTGCTTTGAACAGCGAGAGTTCCACAGTATTTTGAATCAGTGGGTGATGACTGAAGTTACCTTCTCTCTCCTCATGTCTGTCTTGTCAACAAGAACCTCCCCTAATTTTTAGCTCTACCTTTATGTTCGGCCGCTCTTCGAAAATGCTCGTATCGTGGTCTTCTGAACAGGAACATTCCTTGCAGTTTCTACTAATATTATCTCGTTCTGGACCTTAAACACTCTCTAGCTCTTCAATATCGGTCCCCCCTCATGAATTACTTCTGCAATATCACCTCTACTTATTGAAAATCTGATTCTGTGCTCGAGCATTTTTCGGATATACTCCCTTCCCCAATTTGTTCAAAGAGGCGTTGTTGGCATCTTCAGACTCTAGTGTATCGACAAGTGTATTATCCCTGATAAATCTTACCGCTTGCTGGAATTCTCGATCTCGTACTTCATCGTTGAAGTACTGGATATTTATTTGCTTACTGAAGTCTTCCGGAACTTGTGGATATAAGAACAGGACCTTCCTCGATGTGACTGCTATGCTTTTGCACTGTCTCTTCTATTTAGCTATTTTTGTTACACTTTGTAGTATAACATACCCGGTTTCGTTCAGTGAGATTGAACGATGAGAATTTTTATTACCTTTTAAACAACAAATCTTCTGAAAAACGAAATGAAAAACAAATAGGACCTACGTTGTGGAAACTTACTCAATTTTACCTACTGGACATGCACCCGACATAGCAAATATTTGGGAAATTTAAGGGAAGCTGTGATATGTAAAAGAAATGAAAAATTTGTGAAACGTCTACTTTATTATTAAAGTAAATCGTACCGTTCTCATCCTGGAACTAACGAAGGGAAAGAGCACGGCAGAGAAACCCTCGATCTAACATTCCTCAAAAATCGAAACATACTGTGTCATTTTAATAACAATTGTGAGTCATTAATTCAATAATTTAAGTCAATAAAAGTTTAAATTAGGTACCGCCCCTGTTCTTATGCTAAAATTCCAATTACACACACTACATTCAATCAACACTACCTATATTTAATACTGAAGAGTTTTTGCTTAGTTAGCCCATTTGTGGCAGGTACTGAGGTCCCTGGTTACGGTAACTCACAGCTATAGTTGTTTTTGAGCCAATATCTCTAGATTGATTATTTCAATTTGTTAGGATATTCTCTCGTCAGGGTAGGAAAATGTTAGTAAATTCAACAAGGCCCTAATACACGCTCTGAATACACAAAATCGAAATCTCAGCACAAAAAAACAGCACATAATTTCTTAGGTTTTAATTTACTTCTTGATCTGTGTTGTTTACAGCATGAAACGATTTTTGTTAAATACATGAACAATGCACATATTATAGAAAATATTATAAACAAACAAAAAATACATAAAAATGAGCAAAATAATAGGTACTTGCATAAATTGAACTCTCAAAAACAAAATAACATTTAATCAACTAACCTGTGAACGCTCCTTACACACACACTAATAACAAATTGGATTGAACAATCAATTTTAATGTAAAATAAAAATGAAAATTGAATAATGAATAATTACAGACACGCGTCTAAAGGACCAGCCCAGCTTATTCTCCAGTCTCTCTAATGCCTAATCGCCTCTTCTCCACCTCCCGTTCGGTTCGGTACCCTTTCAGTACGCTTCGCGGCGCATACAAGGTTGCAATATTTATTTTTATTCAGTGAACGTTTTTTTTTTTAAGTTAAGATTTGAAGAAATAATATTTTAAATAGGTGGTTTTCCTCAACTTTGATCAGAGTTCTACCTGTTTCCGTATCTCAGCTCTAAGGCGCGTACGACAGCTGATAATCAATTCGTTTTACTTTAGCAATATCTTGACAAATTGGGAGCGCCTTTTCTTTCAACCATGATGTTGCTTTTTTTGACTATATCATCCAATTGCGCTACAGGTGGCCCCAAACTGACGTTTATACATATGTATATGGTCGAATATGCTTCTCTGTTAAAGGTTGGTGAGGCTGACTAAGTTCATTGCGAATTCTCTTTATCTTCCTCTTCAGTCAGTCGTCTGTCTT